ACGCGGGGGCGGGGCCAGCCTTCTCGGCCCTGCAAGGCCCTAGCAGTTTTATCTGGATCTGACAGGTTCGCTTGGACGCTTATTTAAAATGAACAACAAACATTTTACATAGTTACCTTCATAGCTATTATCCTGATATTTCCGATTATCTTCTGTGTTTGTCTTGGGCAGTGGGGATTGAACTCAGGGCCTTTGTGCTGGGCTACATCCCGGGCACTCTTTTTTAAAAAAGCTTTTGGGGTTCTAGGTTGCCCGGCTTTACTTCAAACTCCTGGGCTTAGAAGTCCTCCTGCTCTGGCCCTCACGTAGCTGGGATTCCCACTGTGGATAGCCCCACCTGGCTTTCCGTTTGCCTTAATGGGGACTGTGGCCTAATAAACTAGTGTTAGGACTTGCGGTTTGGAGAACCCCACCTCCTTGTCTTGCTCAGTCCTTTGCTGTTTCCCTTCTGTGTCTGAGCTTTCCCTGTTTTCCTGGCCTCACCAGGCCAGTCCCCACCAGGCCCAGGTCCCAAGCCACCTCCTTCTGCCAGCTCCACAGGGCAACTCTGCCAGCAATCCCCAGCCCCAAACGTCCCTAGGAAGGCCACATCGCTCTATTAGCATTGCCTAGGACCTCGCTGGGAGCAAAGCTCATGCCTCTCATCCAAGCACTCTGGGAGGCTGAGGCAGGAGCGTTGCTGTAAGCTCAAGGCTGTCTCAGAAAACCAAAGGGGGAAGAGGTTCCTGAGCCTGAGTCAGTGCTGGGTCTGGCTGGGTTCTGGAGCCCAGTGTCAGCAGGAAGGTTGGGACAGGACCCCACGGACGACAGAGCACAGCCTCCTGGGAGGGGTGGGGTTACCTTGAAGAGCTGACAGCAGAGACGAGGCACCTGCTGGCCCTCGGTGACTCCCCACGGGACAGGTCCCCAGTCCCTCACCTCCCAGCCTGGCAGCTCCAGGCAGGAAGCCTCCAGGGACCATGCAAGAGACCGGCCGGGTATGTAGGCGACACTTGTGGCTGATGCTGTGACTGAGATGAAGAGGTGGAACTTGCCCTCAGGACCTGGCAGCACCTCAGGAGGCTGAGGCAGGAGGGTTGCATAGGGCCACAAAGCCAGCATAGTGAGGCCCTGCCTTAAAAATAAAAGGCCCACAGGCTGTGCTTCAGGCCCCTGGGAAGCCATTCTGAAGGGGCTGGTCCCTCTGCTGTCCCCTCCTTGGCCTTCCAGTGTTCAGGAGGCCAAGAGCAAGCAGAGGCCTCCCCTGTCCACAACCTGTACCCACGCCTGTCACTGCCACCACCCACAGGCACTTAGGGGGCCCATGGCTCAGGGCCACCCTAGCCCCACCAAACAAAACACCGTGACCCAGAAATAAATGCTTGTCACTGAGCCTCAGGGCCTGGGTCCTCAGTGGCAGAAGGGAAGAAGGGACAAGTCACATCCCATCTGGGCCTTTGAGACAAAGGAATAGGGCCTAGTGGGAAGCAGGAGGCACAGGTGCCAAACAGGTGGAGAGAGTTCACCAAGGCCCACACGGTGGCATGCTTGCCACCCGAGCATTCTGGGAGGCTGAGGCAGGAGGATCACAAGTTTGGTCCCCAGCACTGAAGAAAAAAGGAAGAGCTCACCAGTTCCTCTGCCTGCCCGCAGGCCTTGGATGATGCCAACAAGGGCGTCATTGAAGAGCTGAAGAAAACCAGCTTCAGGGAGACATTAAAAGACACAGGTGAGGTCCTGGACCAAGAGGGACAGTGAAGCCGCCTTCTCTCCTGCAGTGCTGGCCAGAGGACACTGCCCACTGAGCCGCTCTCTGCCACCTCTTCCTCCAGTTTTTGTTTTTGTTTTTTTAGACAAGGCCTTGCCATGTAGCCCAGGCTGGCCTTGAACTTGTGGTGATCCTCTTGCCTCAGCCTCCCGAGTGCTGGGACCACAGGCGTACACCCCTGTGCCTGGCCTCCTCCTCTTTTTGAGGTACTGGGGATAGAACCCAGAGTCTTTGCACTGAGTTCCATCCCCAGCCCTTTATGTATTTATTTTTTAAGACCGGGTCTCGCTGAGTTGCCCAGGCTGGGCTTGAACTTGGGGCTCCTTTAGTTTTTCAAGGTATTTATTAAGTAGCCACACCCGTCATCCCAGCACTTGGGAGGCTGAAGCAGGAGTGTCTCAAGTGGGAGGCTGTGGTTCCCTCTTGGAGGCTGTGGTCTGCCGGTTACGGCCAGGGAGGTGGCACCAGCGGTGGGACAACAGCGGCCACTCTCCTGGGATGGGCCAGCTGCTGTGCCTCTGCCTCCTTTCTCAGGACCTGGGGGGGGGTGTCACTGCCTGGGAGGCTGAGACAGGAGGATCCCAGGAAAGGGCAGGAAGGTTGCAGAGGGGGTGGGTTCCGGCACCTGGGCCAGGGGCCCAGGCTGTCCCCACGGAGGCCACACGGGGGCCACACGCCGCCCAGGAGGCGCACTTCCCGCTTTCACCAGCAG